CAGAGTGGCCACCAGGGCAACCTGGGAAGGGCTAGCCTCCAACTAGTTCGAATTAAGTGGCTACACAGCCCTTAATTCAGACTACTTAATTCGAACTAGGCATTAGTCCTCGTAGAATGAGGTTTACCTAGTTTGAATTAAGCGCTCCGCTAGTTTGAATTAAGTTCGAACTAGCGGTTTGCATGTGTAGCGCCTATTAAAGTTAATTCGAAATAATGTCTGTTAGTTCGAATTAACTTTGTAGTGTAGACACACCCTTAGTCTATAAAGTGCCACAGGACTCCTCATCACTTTTGCAGATTCAGACTAGCACGGCTACCCCTCTGATTCTTGACACAATGTTACAGCAGTACGCCTTCTTCATCCAGCACAGAGCGGGTAAGGACCATGTGAACGCTGACTTTTTCTCCCAGCCCGGGGAGAGTCCAAATCCCAGCTCTGGAGATCAGGGCCTGGACTTGAAGGGCGGGGAGTGTAGTGAGTTAGCATGGAATATACTTTACCTCATGCACCATTACACAAATACCCAGATAGTGTTACTGTGTGGGGCAATATTGATGCATGTAGGGAGACTAGAACATCAGTACACAGAAGAGAATTTAACTCATTAGTCTTTGAAAATGACACAGCCTATGTTTTGACATCAGAGGACTGTAGAACTGGAAATAAAAAAATTGACTGTGACATGGTGTGACGGCGCGTTGGGGTTTTCCCGTCTCCTGCACCCCAGTAATGGCACGGACAGACTCCACCAGCCAGTAGAATAGAGGGAGTTTATTGCTTTTCCAGGATACAGCACAGCACAGATGGAATCTGGTTACCTGGGATGCCTCAGCCCCCCTTGAGATGGGGGAAACTGGGCCCCTAAATTCCTCCATGCTCCCAGACAGAAACTAACTAACTCACTTCCAGCCCTGCCCCCCAGCCAGGGCTCCACTCCCCTTCTTCTCATTGTTCCGCTCCCTGGGGAAGAACTCCTCAGACAGGTTCAGAAGCCCCCTTGCATAATGACTCATCCCCTGCCCTGCTGGGTTGTGCTGCAGACAGCAGCCAGTGGAGGTCACTTACGACCCACTGCCCAGCACAGCAACCAGCAAGGTACCCCCCACTACATCACACATGGAAACCTAATTTTGAAGTGCAAATATGCAGTAAAAATGGTAGCAAAGGCACAGTAATGGGATTGCTAAAGAAACTGAACCACAATGCAGATCAGAGAACACAAGAGGGAAAAAAGTGTAAGTACATAAAGTAGAGAGGTAACAGAGTACCTTTTTCCTGAAGAGTTTATCTTCTTTACCAAGTTTTAGCTGTTTCAGGAAAGAAAAACAAATGTTAAATGTTATCTAGTAAAAATTTCTACTTATATCAATCTCTTTCAGTTAATAGCTGGTTTGGTGAGTGGTTACAGCAAACCATAATGAAGCAGACAAATTAACCCACTATAAAACTATAAAACAATCAAGCCACACTTTGTTTCTTGCCCTTCTGTATACTAATGGTTTGTGGTTTTCAATGGCTGAAGTCTATTAATGAACATTTAACATCCCCCCCCCCATAATCTCCTCCCCAGTTCTCTGTGGTGTCACTCTGTGGAGTCATCAAAGCCTCCCACATTCTGGAGGCATGTAGGAAACATGTACCAGCATCCTAAGTCAAACAGTTTTTAGTGCCCATGACGGCAAACAGATAATAGCACTGGCTAGAGACCAAACACATGTGGATTGGCACTGTGTATGCAGTCCCTCTACTCTACCCTTCAACTTCAATCCCCATCTGTACCACCTCTATTTCAAATCTTGGGCCATCTACCATAGTAAATTTGTGTGTACTACAAAACCAGTGCAGAAACTGTCACTGAACACAACTAAAATCAACACACAGTTTACTCATGACCAAACTTAAAGCCAGATCTTCCTCACTTCCACAGACAAGCTAATCTGCAATTCCTAGATGTTAAAGTAATGCATATGAGAAATTCAAATGTTCTCTGGTCCAAATAAGCGGTGCAAGTTAGATTTTTAAAAGAGTGCCTAAACTGCAACTGAAAGCAGTAAATAGATTCCTCCGTCTCTCTGTAAGTTGGGGAGAATATTCTCTCTGGCTATGTCTACACTACAGCGCTAATTCGAACTAACTTAATTCAAATTAGTTAATTCGAACTAAGCTAATTCGAACTAGTGCATCTAGACCTAAAAACTAGTTCGAATTAGCATTTTGCTAATTCGAACTAGCAAGTCCACATTGAGTGGACCCTGAACCGGGCTTAAGGATGGCCGGAAGAAGTGCCGGCAGGGCATCAGAGGAGGACTTAGGGCATGGTTGTGCCCAGAGTGGCCACCAGGGAAAGCTGGGGAGGGCTAGCCTCCCACTAGTTCGAATTAAGGGGCTACACACCCCTTAATTCGAACTACTTAATTCGAACTAGGCTTAATCCTCGTGGAATGAGGTTTACCTAGTTCCAATTAAGCGCTCTGTTAGTTCGAATTAACTTTGTAGTGTAGACATACCCATACTCTCCCCCAGACCCCGGGGCCCTTAAAGGGGTAGACTCTGGCCAGACTGCACGTGCCAGATCCAGCCCTGCCAGCAGTCTCTGCCCTGACCCAGTGGCCCCATGATGAGCCAGGCAGCCAGGGCCAGCCAGCGGTC